GTAAACTAGCTTCTTACTATTTTTTTTTTTTGTCCTCAGTTCTGGATATCAAACTCAGGACCTTATGGTTGTGAGACAGTCAGTGCCACTGAGGTCAATCCCTGGCCCAGTACATAATAATTCTTAATTCACTTGTAGGAATTCTTACCAGGCATCAATCTTTGTTTATATTTTTCGGGGTTTTGTTGTTGTTGTTGTTGTTGTTGTTGTTATATATACTCATTAACCCTTTTGAACATGTCAGTATATTCTGCATTTTAAAGTAAAAATGCTCCAGGATATCTGGGCCTTAGAATGGTGTCATTTAATGTTTATAAAATATAACAGTTTGTTACCCAGTTTGTTCTTTTGCTCAGACTTTAGTTTTAAACATGGTTTAATAAGAGTTTAGGATAGTCAGTGAACATTACTCTTAATTCACAGGCTTGTTTTTTGTTTGTTTGTTTTTTTTTTTTGTCATGAATTTAACTGATGACTTTCTTATTTAAAGGGCATGACCAGTTATTGCCTGAAGCAGAAGAAATTACTATGATCAGCATTCAGCTTGCTGCCAGATTCCTCTTTACCACTGGATTTCACACCAAGAAAATAGTCCGTGGACCTGCCAGTGACTGGTACATGGCTTTGGATTTTGGTTGTATTTTACTTAGAGTTGATTTGGCTTTTTATTACACTGGTTTATTTTTACCCAATCATGACAAAGTCATTTCAAATGTCAAATACAGAATAAAAATTTTACTTAATAGTGGTGAAAATCTTACTGAAATTTTATAGTGTAAATACGACTTTTATTTTAAAATTTGCTATTTCTCTTATGACACAGCATTTTTTCATCGATAAAGTAATGAGCTTTATCCTAACTAAAGACCCAATTCAGATTAAAAAGGTAGATTTTCTTTAAATAGCTATTATCTTCAATTATTAGTAATTTTCAAAGCATGGTGATTAGCAAGCCTTGCAACATCATTCACAGTAAATAATATTAAGGAAATGTCACTTCATGAAGAAAAGATTTGCAGAGACATCCACATATTCTCTTCACGTTCATTTTGTGGCTATGTCGGACTAGATTTACTCAGAAGGCTTCATTAGCAAGTTTTATATTTGTACCACAACTGATCATGACTGTGAATGTGAAGAAAGTATTTTATGGGCCAGGGATTTAGCTCAGTGGTTCTGCTGCCCACCTCGCAAGTATAAGGTCCGGAGTTCGATCCCTGGTATCAAGACAAAACAAAAAAAAACTGTTGTATCATTATTTGGTTTATAGAAACTTTCCTTATCACTATAGCAACTCAAAAAATTTTAATGTTAATAAAAATGTATGTTCATAAATATTTTTGCTTTAGGTATGATGCACTATGCATTCTTCTTCGTCACAGCAAGAATGTACGCTTTTGGTTTGCTCATAATGTCCTTTTTAATGTATCCAATCGCTTCTCTGAATACCTTCTGGAATGCCCTAGTGCAGAAGTGAGGAGTGCATTTGCAAAACTTATAGTATCTATTGCACACTTTTCCTTGCAAGATGGTTCTTGCCCTTCACCTTTTGCATCTCCAGGACCATGTAATCAGGTAATTGCACAGCTTCTCTGTAGAAAATACTTAATAAAAATTTTTTTTTTGCAAGATTAGATGGACAAATCTATATGTCTGTTTGACATACTTATGCAGAGATTCATGTAAGCAGATACATTATGGTATCTTTGTAAAAACTACTTGAGCATTAGAAATTTTGTATTTTGTTTGTTGGTTAGTTGGATTTTTTTAAACAAGGTCTACTGTGTAACCCAGGCTGGCCTCAAACTCAAAGCAGTCCTGCCCCTAGCCTCTTGAATGCTGGGATTACAAATGTGCACCATCAACACCTAACTGTTAAGCACTTTGATAAAGAAGTTTTCTCTTCATTCACTTGCAGTTATTTAGTAAATCTTAAGGTTTTTATATATAAAGATTTGATTTTGTAACAGCTTAATTTACATTTCTGTTAAATAGCTTTTTGTTGTTTTTGAGACTCACTCTGTAGTTCAGGCTGGCCTTGTACTGAGTCCAACTGGCCTCAAACTCATGGCAATCCCCTTGCCTCAGCCTCTCAGGTGCTGACCTAACATGTGTGCACCACCACACCCAGCTCTGTTAAATAGCTTCTTAAGTGCACAAAGTAACATGCACATTATAACATTTACAATTTCAAGAATGAAGGAGCTATAAAAAACGACTGTAATTCTTCATTCTTTCAAAGAACAACTAGATTTATTTATTTCACTCTGGAAATTTTTACCATATAAGTGAACATTATCCTCTTTATGCAAAGAAAAATTTACTCTTGATGTTTTTGCTGCTGAAATAACCTTTTTATTTTTCACAGATGGGTGATAACTTGAGCTTGAGTGATCATTTACTAAAAACAGTATTAAATCTCCTAAGGGAAGTTTCAGAACATGGGCATCATTTACAACAGTATTTCAATTTGTTTTTAATGTATGCCAATTTAGGTAAGAACTTTTCACAAATTTTACTTCAAAGATTGTTGCATATGTACATATTAAGTGATGAAAACATTTTAATTACGGAAGAGAATTTATTCTAGAAAGTGTAGTGCATGTTCTTAAAATGAATTGCAAGTGCTGAGGATTTAGCTCAGAGGCACTGTGCCTGCCTGCCTTGCAAGCTCAGGTTCTAAGTTCTATCCCTGATACCAAAAACACACACAGAGCAAATTTTGTGTTAACATTTTAATGGCAGTTTTTGTCTTGTACTGTAAAGCAATTTTTATACTCTGAATTTTTTGTTGCGGTATTGTTTAAGGTTGGATTTTGTGTCTAATTCATGTTTGTATCCTTAAATCTTGCTTTTTTTCAAAACTATTGATTTCCTGGTCACATCCATCCCATTTAATTCAGCATTTAATTCTTTCCTGAAAGTATTCCACATGGCTATGACCCTGGTCAAATTTAGACATCACTCTTTCAACAATTTAGGAAAATAGCGTATGTCATTGTTCAAAGAAATTAAATCAAAATGGCTTAGAATGTAAATAATACACTTAATTTTTTATTTCAGGGCCAGTTAATATCATTTTTAGTGTGTCCTCAACATAGCCACTTTTTGTCCCTTCACCTATACATTCCTCCCCCCCACCTCATCAATTTAAACTGCTTACCTCAAAAATTATACCGTTTACTCCACTGTTTTTTACTTTTTTAAATTTGTCTTGCTGTCCATTAGATTGCAGTATTCAACTCAGAGGTTTACAAAAATAACCCTTCTCCCTTTCTTTCTTTCCCTCTTGTCCTTTTTAATGTAATGATGATTCCTTATCTCTGCTGGTCTTAAAGCAGTTCTGTAATTCCTCTTTTGTGAATGTTTCTAAGAAATGGTAATGAAAATATGGTGAATGCATTCCTGAATGGCATTAACAGAAAGACAGGTTCCTAAAAATATTGTGTGTCCTCATCTACCTTACTCACTTTGACCTATACTAAGAGGCTTTTTGCTCTTTCTCAAAGTCTAAAATAACCATGGTAGGTAAAGGTTTTGAATCAATAAAGAACATGGAGTTAGCTGTAACAGAACCAAATACACTGATGAAAGAACTTCCAGTAGCAAGAATAATGGTATTACTGTGTCCAAAGCAAGGGAAAATAATCTGAGGGAAATTTATGGCAGTAGTGTCTAATACATAATTTTTAAAATGTAAACACACCATGTTTGTTTTTTGGTGGGTTGGTTGTTTGGGGGGTTTTTGTTTTTTTATACCAGTGATCAAAGTTGAGACCTTGCGCTTTCAAGGCAGTGACTACACCACTGAGCAAAATCCCCGGCCCACTACAGCATGTATTTTGATCACACCTATAGCAAAAATGATTTTGGGGGCTGGAGATTTAGCTCAGTGGTACCAACACTTCCTCACAAATGCAAGGTCATGAGTTTGATTCCCATACTAAAAAAAAAAAAAAAATGTTTTTCTTTATTTGGTGTTTGTTTGTTTTTAAACTCTGGACTTTATACTTTCAAGGCAGGTGGTGGAACCACTGAGCTAAATCTGGCCCCTGTAGATATACTTATAAATCTGAATGTCTAATTTGAAGCATTCTTGCACCAGTACTTCAGATTATTAATTTATTAACACTGTATAGCCAGTTAAAATCTCAGCGGTACTAATGCATATTTGGTGAGGTTTTTAATGAAGAATTCAGGAAATTAGCCGCTTGCTTTGGATAATTTTTAAAATCATGGCTACATCCAAATTTCTATATTTATACATTTCTTTTAGTCAAATTGTTCTCTGTATAAACTTTTTAAATGGCTATTGGTCTGATTCTTCCAACAGTAAGAAAATTACATCATTCATCTCCTTTCTCTGATCATCTCTGCAACTTTTTTCCTTCCTTCGTTTAACTATAATTCTGCAATACTTGGCTTTTAGACATATAAAATCACACAGTCAAACACAAATGAAATATTTGCATGTAAAAAATGGTAAGTGTAACATGCACAGACTCCTTATTTTGTATGTTTTGGTAGCATTGGGGATTCAACCCAAGTCCTTCACACTGAGCTACATCCCGACCCTTTCTTTGTTTTTTTGTTTGTTTGTTTGTTTTATTTTGGAACACTTTCACCAGGACACTGAATTGCTCAGAGTGATCTTTGTTCAGTTTCCCAGCTACAGTTACAGGACTTTGCCACCATGCCTAGTTCATAGTTTGCATTTGAATTACTTCTTTATATAAACTGCTGGGCTATAATGTAAGCTAATCAGGATTTCTCTTGACAAAAAATATATATATTATAAATCTTAGTATTAATCCGAGCACATATGCTTTACTCTTCAGAAATTTTTTCATTTAGGAAAGTCAAGTCAGTGCAACGTATTGTATGACATCACCAGAAAAGTCTCAAGCACTATATAGTTAAATATATTAATATTTCTCATAAATAATGAGTGCTCACTTTTAACATGTGAAGTTAAGTGGCATTAATGGCTTCATTTTAACTCAGGTCATACTGCACCACAAAATAAACTGTGAAATTAACTTTGTGAGGGAAGAGGTGTTCAGGGCCAGGGATTTAATTCAGTGGTACCACACCTGCTCTGCCAAGCACAAAGTCCTGAGTTCAATCCCCAGTACTGTAAAAAAAAAGATGTTCATAAATTTGTGTAGCCATTACAATATTAAAAATAATACAGAGGTTGCTCAAGCTAGTATGATCAAATATCTATTGATCCATTCTTGGTGAACCTACTTATTGATAGCTGTAATCCAACAATTGCAATTGTGACACATCCAAAGGAAAGAAATTCAGTACATAGGTCAAGAAGATACCCACCTTTATAGCACTATTCATATTTTCCAAGATATGAAAGCAGTGTGAATGTTCCATCAGCAAGTAGAGTACAATGCCTGCCTGTACACCCACAATTAAATAGTGTTTGATGTTTTAAAAAGATTTAAATCAGGGCCAGGGATTTAGCTCAGTGGCACCATGCCTGCTTGGCAGAAACAAGATCCTGAGTTCAATCCCTGCTTTTAAAAAAGTGAGGTGGGGGGGATTTAGCTCAGCAGTTTGGTGGCCTACCTTGCAAGCACAGGACCTGAATTCAATCCCTGGTACCAAAATATATTTGTGTGTGTGTGTGTGTGTGTGTATGTCATTTGAGACAAAATGGATAAATGCAAAGGCTATTATGTTAAATGTAAAGTTAATCAGGCACAAAAGGCCAAGTGTTGCATGGTCTGATGCATGTATGGAATCTTAAAAAGTTGTAAAGGGAGGAAAGAAGAAAATGAGAGAAGAAATCTCAAGGAAAACACTGTTTAAAACAACAGACTGAAGATCTGAAAGGCCATGGATTTATCTCAGTGGTTTCACTGCCTGCTTTTCAAGTGCAACACCCCCCCCCACCCAAAAAAAAAGGAAAGCAAATTGTAATAGTCAAGCAGAAAAATACATAGAACGCATTCTACCACAGCCTTTAGGCTGGGTATAGTGGCTCACACCTGTAATCCCAGCACTCAGGAGGCTGAGGCAGGAGGATCACTATGAGTTCAAGACCAGCCTGCGCTATCTAGTGAGTTCCAGAGCAGTCTGAACTACACAGTAAAACCCTGTCTCAAAAAC